AAAGCTTTCAGAAATTGTGTTATGAATAAAACATGTTTCTTACAGTACTTGTATTATAGCAAATAGAAGAATAATTTTTTGGCTGTGTACATCCATATATGTCAGCCCAGCTCTCTTCTTGTGTACATGTGTGTGGTATGTGTGAAACCCAGCATGGGATAGTGTAAAGGCTGGCATGTAAAAGCTCCCTTTAGAAAGGTGCATGTTTATACTAAAAGAGATTGACTTAGAGTAACCTGAAAAGGTAACCAGCAGCTAAATTGTTATTTTGGCAGTAAAATACCATTGTTTGTGTTGGTTAAGATGTGCTTTCCTCTTGCCCTTATTGAGTAGCTGCAGGTTTCTTTCTTTTTTTAATAGACAGTATTTGTTTATCAGCTTAGAAATGTTCATACATGGCTTCATTTAACTTGTGTCTGGGGAATGACCATCAGACCTTGATATGAGTTTGCCGGAAGGGGTATCTAAGGAAAACACTTTTCAAAGAAGCTGGATGTGTTTAGTAACTATGAAAATCAAAACATCTACTTAATATATGTGCTATAAATGTGTAAGAGAAGACTTGGTGAAAAGAAACTTGAGCACCTCAAGTTTGAGTCCTTATATGCTACAGATTTTTTTTCTTTTTTTGAAAACTGTTTGCATCTCAACTGTAGAGAGAGTCAGGATATTTGTGATTAACAAAGTTTTCCCTGTTGTTTGCGTAGGCAGTTTCCTTAAATGTGCAAAGATAAGTACCTTGTCCTTGTCCTTGAAATGGTATTCAGTTCCCAGTGTGTTTGCTTTGCTATGTCAGCACCTGCCCATATGCCTGACTGCTGTAAGTGGGGGACGACTGTCAAAACTGTACGTGAGGAAGGGATAATGTTTCTTATCTATCACTTGAGTTCTGTACAGAAGGCTGTGTGTACTGTTGCTCAAAAGAATGCTGTTTTGTTTTTGTCGTTGGAAGTGTTGACACTTGGAAGTCTTTTGGGCTATGTTGAGGTAAATAACACTGTTTTTTCCTTTTTTCTTGTCTTGCAGAAATGGGCGTCATGCCTGAGATAGCTCAAGCGGTGGAGGAGATGGACTGGCTGTAAGTAGGAGTGCGTTTGGGCCTGGCAAAATCTAATTTGCCTTTCAGCGATAAACACGACATACTCCTCAAAATACCTCTGCTGTCACAAAGCTAAACCAAATCAGATTGTTTTACTTTAACTGTCATTGCCTGTTTTTAGTGCACAAATTGTGACTTCAGTGGTAACATTTCAACTTGGACAAGCAAAGCACAACTGCTTACACTTCAGTGTCGTTTGTTTGATAAAAGCCTCTGTGCTGCTGATTTGTTGGTTATATGTATTGTGGGATTACTGGATGAAATGCTGTCATGTAATTGATGCTTATTTAGTAAACATTTTACAGACTGGTCTGAATTTGTGTTCTTCAGAGTTGATGCTTGTGTGTCAGTCTTCTACAAAAGCTGTTCTTCCTGTGTTTAATTACTTGTTTAGCTAAAATACTTAAGAACTTGTTTTGAATTGTCGTTCAGGATGTTGTCGGTACAGACGATCTTAGTGTATGTAGTTCTTCTTTCCTCATATGCATGATATTAATTGCTGTGATTGTCTGAAAATACTGGTTACATTTAGGTATCTTTGTTTTCCAGTTTTGAGTAGGAATCTTGTAAATGGGGGCTGTGTAAGTGGCTTTAAAAGTGAAACTGGCTTGAAGGAAGGAAAGCAGGGAGTACATCGTTAATCTGTTTCTCCTATAGTTTAGCATAGTGATGTGAGATGTAGCCCTCTTGTCAGGGTGCAGCTGAATCCACTGCATCCACTAGTTACTTCCTGTCAAGGTGCATCTGTTCCAAGCTCTTCTTGTAAGTGGAATCCTTTTCACTTCTGTAGCTGCAAGCCAGGAATAATAACATTTACCTGCTATTTCCCATCTTGCAGATGATCGTGGTTTCTGTGAGTTTCTGTATAAGCAAAAGTCCTGTTGTCAGCTGGTAACACCGGTTTGTGTTAATGTGTTCTTTCCTGTAGCCTTCCTACGGATATCCAAGCAGAATCCATCCCACTGATCCTGGGAGGTGGTGATGTACTTATGGTATGTATGCAGGATAGCCCTATTCCTAGAAAGCCCATGTCTTTTAATTGGTTTTGTGGTCAATTCCCTTCTTTCCAGAAGGGTCCATAGTTAAATTAAGTCTCCTGTTCTTCAATAGAAAATTCTTCAGCTAAAAACCTTCCTCTTTGAGTTCCTGGTGTATTTCCAAGTGTTGTTGCAGATGGCATTCATTCTTTTTAGCCTTTATTTTTTGACTTAAGTAATAAGTAAGGCTTCCTATAATCTTCTGTAGCACGTCCAGAAATCAGACGTACATAGGTAGATTTTCTGGTGGACTCAGAGCTTTTAGTTTTGGGGTTTCTTTGAAGTGTATTGTAAAAGTTTTCTGTGTATTCACATCTAATTCGTGTGAAGCAATGGCATTACTCTTTAAGATTTTCTGTATTATGCATAAGTAAAAGTAAATTTATTTTATTAAAATAGATCTGTAGAACAGTCCTTACAGTGTAAGTTGCAGCTTTGGTTAAACTCTTAAATTTTTCTTCCTATAGGCTGCTGAAACGGGGAGTGGAAAAACTGGGGTAAGTAATCGAATTTAAATTAGCAGAAAGTAAGTCTTTTAAGCAGTGAGAGGTGGTGTGTGTGTTTGTGTATATGTGTATATACAGAGAGAACAAGTATATGTTTGTATGTTTATTTAAGCAGTATTATTAGTAGTGTTTACAGACATATGTGTAGGCATGTTTTAAAATGTTTCTGGCCCTGGTTATTGCATTTGAAAACTAGGCTGACTGTATATCTGGAAATACCTGTATAAACTGTGGAATGAAAATAACTTTCCATTTTAGGCTTTTAGCATTCCAGTTATCCAGATTGTTTATGAAACGCTGAAGGACCAGATGGAAGGCAAGAAAGGGAAAGCAACTATTAAAACCGGGGGGGCAGGTAAGTTTTTATTTCACACTCCTGAAGTCTGGAGCACTGTTAATTCATGTTGATTCTGTCACCTCCCAAAGTAAAAGTAGCAGAACTTGCCATTAGGTAAGTATTTTTTCCTTGATTTGGGGTAACATAAATAGAATATCATCACCCCAGATTTATAAAACAGTGAATATAAATTTACTGGTGGAGTCATGGAAAGAACTGGGATGCATTTGACCGCAGTCTCTTAGTAACACTCATTGTCTTAGCATAAGGCCAACTGATCTGTGCTCTTCAGTGTTCTTTTGAAATCTGCAATAGTCTAGCGCCTTGCAGGATGTGAAGTGGTAGTAGTATCCAGCTTAAAAAAAAGGAGTTTTAAAAAAATAAACCTTCCAATTGCAGGGATAGATGAAACATCAGCAGTGACAGCCCATCAGAGTGTGGGCCTCTTGAGTGTGCTTGAGCAGAAAGCTCTCTTAGGCTGCTTCTGTTTTTGTGTGGCTGGGATAGCACTGTAGTGTGTCTTTCAGTTCTGAATAAAGCTGTTGCATTCCTTTTGGCGCCTAGCTGGGTTTAGAAGCTGAATAACAACTTGAATTCCTGCGGCTTTGAACTAGTAAACATTGAACTGGGCAGGAGATGCAAAGGGCCAGAACCCACTGATATAGAATGGGTTGTAACCATGATAATATCCTTATAGTATTTGAGGGTCTATTACACATCTCTAAATAAGCTTGCAACATGAAGGCTAGTAACCGTGTCCAGTCTGGTACTTATAGACTGAGATTTATGTAAGTGACTGCACAAACGCTCTGGAGATGTTACAGAAGTTCGCGTCTTTCAGCTTCATTATAACTACTGCTACAGTGGTGACAGTACAGTCAACTTTAAAAAAAAAAAAAATCAATAAAAAGTCCTGCTTGAAAGAATACAATGCAAATACACTCTGTAATTCTAATTGGAATGGCAAAATTTTATAGTTCTACAAAAATCCTTGTGCTGTGGAACCTCTAGACTTTATTGCAACACATTATTTGGCGTATGAAAAATTAAGACAGACATTTTATGTGATGTATGTAGATGTATCTTAGCTCTTCAGTAATGGTGTTTTAATCTATACCCTGAACAATATCTTAATGTGAACTTGGAACAGAAATAGCAAATACATTTCAAAGTTACTGCTCTTAATGTGGTTTTGGATATTTTCTAACTGAGTTTGATTGTGATTATGTGGAACTCTGGCTTATTTTATAAATGTCTTCGTTGTTTTCAGTGGTATTTTTAATTAACTTAATCTGTGCTCTCCTTAATGGATTCATCTAAACATTTGTGGAATACTTTTGTATTATGCATCTCTGCCCCTCCAAGTTGTGGGCCTTCATTCTGACCTTGTATGAGTTGCATTGGAACAAAGCTGTCTCCCCAGAAAACTAAGCCAAATGCTGCAGAGCCAATGTGAACTTCTCATGTGAGTTTTTCAGACTTACCTTGTTGGTTTAATGCTTTTTCTGTTGCTGTCTTTCCAATTTAGTGCTCAATAAATGGCAAATGAACCCGTATGATAGAGGATCAGCTTTTGGTGAGTTGTCCTAATGGTGCTTTAAATGTTCAGTTGAAAATGATCCGTTGGTGAAAAAAATAGTAAACTAGAGGAAAGTATGCATGAACTTTTTTTTTTTTAAAGCAGTTAGGCAGTGTAACTAAAACTGTTTTGTCATTTTCAGCAATTGGATCAGACGGTTTGTGTTGTCAAAGCAGAGAAGTAAAAGAATGGCATGGATGCAGAGCAACTAGAGGTGTGACTAAAGGTAGGTATCAAATCAGATATTTTGGAGACTTCTAGAAGTGTCAGGTGAAATGCCTGCTTGTCACCCATTGATAATCTGAATGGTTGCATTTAAAACTTATTATCCATCTGAGCAAATGTGCCGTTACTCAATTTACTGCTAGCTGAAGACTTTGGAATGACAAATACCTCTGTTTTGTTCTCCTTGTGTAAATTACCTTTTCCTTGATGGGGTATTGAGTTGGAGGAGACAGTCATAACTAATATCCATTATAACAGATTTTATTAAGGTGTTATTAATAGGAAATAGTGACTCAGACAGTACTTGAACTTGTTTACTCGCACACTTTGCACAGACACATCCATACACAAGTTTCATGGTTACGTGTTTGGAACAACACCTGAGAGGCCAACCCCAGTTCCTTACTCAGGAGAGTCATACTGGTACCCCAGTGGTTCTAGGTGGGTGTTCAGAAAGACCCTCAGTCTCGTTTTGCCGGGTGTGCAGATAATCCTGTAGCCTGTCTGTACACAGCAGCCAGTTGGATGTGATTCAAGTTACATAACCAGTTGTTCATGCTGGTGGTCTTGTACTGATTTGGCAGACCCCTGGTGCTCCGAGTTTACCAGTTCTTGTGGATCCAATAGAACCGCTGGTCTCTAGCTTATCACTCCTTTAGAGCCTTTCACACACTACCTCTCAGCATGTACTTTTTCTCTTTTGTCTGTTCTCTGGTCGTCGTGTTTCTTCATTACATATATAAGTACCTCCAGAACCTTTAAACTCTAATGTGACAGGGGACTTTGACACACTCAGGAGGGGTGGAAATAGTAGATTTGTGTGATCTTGAAAGTAGCCAAACCAAACCACCTTGATGAAATTGCTATTTAGGTGATTTAGATCCTTCCTTTCTCTTTTTAAAGGGAAATACTACTACGAAGTTTCCTGTCATGACCAAGGCTTGTGCAGAGTTGGTTGGTCAACTATGCAGGCTTCACTGGATTTGGGTGAGTTTCCTTCAAAAGAAGAATCCCATAGATAGTTTTCATATTCACATGGAATGACTGGAGTCCTATTCTAGTCTTGCAGAGAATGGGCTCCTTGGGAAGGATAGCAATAAGTTAAAAACTTTTTGTACAAATCTTGTTCTTCTGTAAGAGGAAATATGCTTAGGTAGTGGCAGTGTTTCTTGTCTCTTGTGACTTTTTCCCTTTAATTTCAGTTTTTTAATGAAGATGACTGGAGGTGAATAAAATCAATAATTATACTGGTACAAAAATACTAGTTTAGTGTCTATCAAAGATAGAAGTCTTTAGTTAGCACTGTGTATTGGTGGTTTTAGAGGTTTCAGTTGCCAATACAAGGAGGAAAAAACATGACCTGTCAAACAAAAGATAAAAAGCTATACTTTATTTTGTCTGCAGGTACTGATAAATTTGGCTTTGGCTTTGGTGGTACTGGTAAGAAATCTCACAACAAGCAATTTGACAGCTATGGTGAGGTAAGCGTGAATTGCTTATTGGTAGAAATATTATTAAAAGTTTTACACGTTGGTTCTGTGCTGAACCATCAACTGCCTTTCCTAAGAGTGCTGACTTTTAAGGGAAAGTCACTGGGCAAAAATACTGTGAAACATTGAAGCATTTTTGGATAAAAGCATATTAACAGATTTAACAAAAGTGGTTATCAGCTGGAGACTTATAATTGTGGCTAGACCACAAATATATTGACTGTTATTTAGAAAATAAACATTTTCTCTGTTACAGGTTAGAGGTTAACTGATTTGTTGGCTTTATGTCTCGACTTGCTTTAGTCTTAACTTGAACAACAGCAGCCCACCTGTATACCTTGGTCAATGTCTAGGTGAATGTCTAAGTGAGGGCATCATATCCTGTTTACTAGTAGTTAAAGTAGAAGTAATCCCAGAACTCTCTAATATGTCAAAGCATTAACTACTAATAAGATGTATTTAGTCGTGGTCTGTTTCTAGCTATTGAGTTGGGTTTGACATTAGAACTGTTGTCTGAATGTGCACTTCTGAACATGTCTGCCAGGAATGTCTGTGGTGGTTTTTGTGTAGTGTGCCAGTCGAGAGTTCAGATGTTTAAGCATAATTTATATAAATAAGAATAGTAAAGCAGAAGCTCAAGTCTTTCTGTGGTACTAATGAACTCTCAATGGCATAAAACTTGCAACTTTTAGGCTATTGTGTTGGAGCTTTTTTAATAGGAGTGTCTTCTGAGCTGTTGAATTAGAAGCGCTTAACAAGATACAGATTTTTATTGAATACCTTTACAATGAGCAGACTTCAAGATACTTAAATGATCTTAAGTATACGTAACATGCATATGGTACCTCCTGCAGGAGTTAGTCTTTTTATAGTCAAAGTATAGGTTTCTGTTGCTGTGTTTGGTGCTTTAAGCTTACATTTACATTGGCTAATAAATGCATGATTAATGCATTTTTCAATAATGTTGAATAATTCCAGGTAAATGACTTGAATTTGTCAAAGTGTTTGGTTTTAAAGAAAATTTAAAGCAGCAATAAATGTTTCAATATCTAAGATAAATTGGGCAGTTTATTGAAGATTTGTAATTAAAATATGCATACTATTTACAGCACTATTACTGGAATAAATTGAACTTTCTCAAAAATTAGTGTTTAGTAGTGCAAAGTGGGGAAAACTGAAAGCTGACAGAATGTAAGCACTAAGTTTTCCTGATACGCTGAACACTAAAATCTCTTAGGTTCACAAACTTCTCTTTGTTACAGGAATTCACTATGCATGATACAATTGGGTGTTACCTAGACATAGATAAAGGACAAATAAAATTTTCCAAAAATGGTAAGTTTTACTTACTTTCTTTGGAATTTTATTGGGGTGCTGGTATTGGGGAAGGGGCAGGGAGAGGCATGCATGTGCATGCAGTCTGACTGAGCCAACCCTGCTTTCAGGGAAGGACCTTGGCCTGGCGTTTGAAATCCCACCGCACATAAGGAACCAAGCACTGTTTGCAGCTTGTGTACTGAAGGTAACTTAATAGTATCGCAGATGTGTAAGATCATGAAAATTGTTCTCGTTTTGGTAGCTAACTACTTATGTATAAAGCTTGCATTGTGACCTGCCAGTGCTGCAGTTGTGCTTGTACACTTTCGGTTTCCTTTGGTCTGCTAGTATTTAACTACTGGAGTGGCCACCACAGTGTGGTGGATTTGATGAGTACTGTTCAAGTTAAATGTTTAAATATGGATTTAAATACTTAAACTTCAATATAAGGGTAGAATAGCATGGATAACTAATTCCTAATACTAGTGCTATCTTGCCTGTATTACACTTTGATATACTACGATTCAACAGATATAAGCAAATAACTTGAAAGTGTCAGAATTCCTGTTTCATTTATTCTCGACTGTAGTGTTACAGCAGTGTAGTAGTTAACTCTCTGGGATGAGCTCTTACAGAGTAAAGGTTTTAGCAAAAAGTTTTAGTGGTCAGAGAAATGTACAAGTCCAAAAAAAAAAAAAAGTGGTTTGGTTTTTTTAGTTGTGGTTTGTCACTGAAAATGAATGTAACATAAAGTTTTCTATGTTTCTATAAATGTGGGAATATTTTGATGTAGAAGAAAAGAGCTTTAGGATCTGGAACCACACAGAAAATGTCTGGCAGGTTTTAGGTGACTTGGGGAAAGGAAATGTGTAAGATAGGAGGAAACACCATGTTCCCCTCCTCCTCATCTAGATGGTTTCTCATGAGGAAATTAATTATAGAATTGTTTCGTATTTTGTGTGATCTCTTGAATCTGTCTGTATGACATAACTTTTGTTGAAATCTAGAATGCTGAATTGAAATTCAATTTTGGTGAAGAAGATTTCAAGTTTCCACCAAAAGATGGCTATATTGGTCTTTGCAAGGCTCCCGATGGTAGTGTTGTAAAATCACAGCACTCGGGTAGGTTAGACTTTTAAACTTCTCTCTGTTCTGTATTCAGGTTGTGTTACAGAGCATTTTTGATCACTTTAATTGCTTCATTACTGCTATGTTCAAGGTCTTACAATATCTTCCTGTTAGCAATATTAGTGATTTTTTAAAGTATTAGAAATGTTTTTCATCTTAAACCACAAATAATGTAACATTTTGAATTTAGATAAAAAAGAAGTTTAGCCAAGTTACTCAACAGTGTCATCTTTAAAAATAAGTGTGTTTAAACTCTGCAATGAAATTAATTATGCTGCGTGGCTGGTATACCCACTATCGTGGCAAGATTCGCTTGTAATCTCTGGATATGAATCTGAAGTTATTTATAATTCAGTGAGCAATAACACTGAATTATTTTATTTAGAATCATGAGGTTTTAGATTATTAGTGGAAACTCCAAGTTCGTTTCCAGTAAAAAATTCCAGGACAGGAATGTAGTTTGTCTTAATGGTGTATTTTTTCATTTAGGAAATGCCCAAGTGGTTCAAACACAGAACCTTCCAAATGCTCCAAAAGCATTGATTGTAGAACCATCAAGGGAGCTGGCAGAACAAACCTTGAACAATGTAAAGCAGTTCAAAAAATATGTCGATAATCCCAAATTAAGGTAACAGTGCAGCTGTTATAATTGTGTTTGTGATGTTGTCCATGGACATGACTTCATGGGGGGGCAGGGAGCCACTTTGTAGCTAAGTGGACCTTAATCTGTGGTGCTTCTGATAATGGCCTCAAACATCTGGTGGCAACCAACCTTCTGACTTTTCAGCTACAGTCAGACCAGTTAGGGGGTTTTGATGTGTTTTGTCTATGGACTACATCTTTCTGGTATGACAAATTATTTGGTTTTCTTTTTCTTTTTTTTTTTTTTTCCTTCAGATTATCAGAGGTGTATGATATTTAATGTTTTTAATCAAGAAAAGCGCATCTACTTACTGCCCTTCTTTTCTGAGCATCTTCTGGTGCCCCACACCTCCTTGCCGTCATTTTGTTTGTATTTCATTTCCAACAAATAGTTCAATACAAGGTCTGCTCTCTTTGCATTGATGTGCTCACAGGACAAATGTTGCCGTGATTAGCATGGGGATGCCATTCTGAAAAATTAATTATCTCCAAGCTGCTTTGGTCTAAAGTTGTTTCTCTTTTGCCTGTGCTTGTAAAACTTAAACAAGCATCTCCATATTCTAAACTGCAGTTAATTTACAAGAGTGCTTTTTCTAGAGCAGCAGGGCAGTAGCAATGGGGAGAGGCAAGCTGTGATGTAAGATTAGTTTACTGGTATTTGTATTTCGAGCTTTCAAGAGCACAGGAAACTTAAAGCTAACTTATGTTTGAGATTTTTAAGGAACAGATATATATTTTTTAAGATGAGATTGGCTAAGGTGTTAATGTATTTAATACAATAGCAACAGAGTAATCAAATTCGAATACAGTTCAGTAACAAAACTTTCACTTCTTGAATTACAATATACTACATATGAAGGGATTCATTTTAAAAATAATTTATTCACTATTCTTTCTTAATTAGTTCTTAATCATCAGCTACTAATAAAAGAATCAAATCTTCAGCCAGATTTTATAATCTTCCGAATATAATAAATTACCAAACGTCAATATACATTGATGTCATTTTAGGGAGCTGTTGATTATTGGTGGTGTTGCTGCAAGAGATCAACTCTCTATACTGGAACAAGGAGTAAGTTGTATTTTTGTTTACCTGATTTAATAGTTTGGGTTCTGGATAACTCGTGATGTGGTTGGAGGGTAGTAATGGTGCTTCTTGTAACTCCTGTAAGCCCGATAAAAAGGGATTGTGCAGTTGATAGCAAGCTCATGTTGCAGTGGTCTAGCATTTGTTGCTTTACTTCCATGGCAATTGTCAGCACAAATGCTTGTAGTACTTGGTCAAATTTTGTTGAAGCCTGAGAACTTCTGAAAATTTTAAAATAAAGGTGTAATTTTTGCCATTTGTCCTTAGTTAGCAAGACAGACACAGTTTTCCTTTTATCTTTTGCTTCACATTTATGTGAATAAAGTTGAATATGCAATTATCAGGGTTAACCTGCGCTACAAACCAGTCCTACGTAGGAGGAACCTAGCTTCGGCAGCATGGGGTGTACAGTCAACTTGGTCATGCTGTAGGGATAGCATCATCACTTTTTTATTTAAGACTTGCTTTTGGAAGTAAGACCATATCACCATTGATAAGTTGTTTCAGTGATGCTAGCTGCCAAAATACAATTTTTCTCCTAAGCGGGCTTGAACTGGAAGATTTCTAGACTTTTACGTGAATGCTAAATTCATGAGAGTGAACACTTCCATCTGACAAAATCTTAAGTTACTTCTATAGTTGATAGACTTGATAATGTATACTTGCACAGTAAGAAAATTTAGATTTATTTTGTCCCTATTTAAAACCGAATGTCTTCATGGGCTTCAGATAACAAAGTTACACAGGTTGGGCGGGGCAGGGGAGGGGGGAAAGGAGCAGGGCCGCAACACTTTCCAAAAAAAAGGGGAGGCTTCCTGCCTAAGGCAGATTCTGCTAATGAAATGGCTGTAGAACCGAAATGCGGGTTGCCCAGAGAGGTTGTGGGATCTCTCTCCTTCAAGATCCTGGAAATTTTATTGGGTAACTGTCTAAAGCAACTTGGAAATTGCCCTTGATTTGCCTGTGATTGAGGGAGTGGAGACCAGATGGCCTCAAGAGATCCCTCCAACCCAAACTACTCTGGGATTCTGTGAAGTTATAATTAATAGAAAACAGGGTATCATACTGATAATTTTCTCTTAATCTTAAATTTGGACGAATTTGGTAATGTCTTTTAGTTATGGGACCAATTCATACTCCTATGTATTTCATAGGTGGATATTGTCGTTGGAACTCCTGGAAGACTGGATGACCTGGTCTCGACGGGAAAGCTTAATTTATCTCAAGTTAGATTCCTGGTTCTGGATGAAGCTGTATGTAGAGAACTAAGTGACACTTAGCTTTTGTTCTTAAATGCAAGACACTTCCTAAAAGATTCAGTTAAACATCATTGTTCTAGAGCGTTTGGTACTTCACTGGAACATCGATTAGCTACCTATAGACTATTCCAAGTTAAGCTTATTGTCTGTAACCATAGTAACCTACCCTTTCTGTAATTTTTTTTTTCTCCTCCCTTGAAGCCTTTCTGGTAAAGCTGCTTGAATTTTTTTGGATAGAGAAATATATTTCAGGCTGTATTCAGAAAGTAGTGAAGTCTGTCCCTGTCACTGTACAAGAACTTAAAAGGACAAAGAGATGAGCATTTTTGATTACCCAGCCGGTCTTGAAGCCAATGAATGCTGTAGTCAATATGCTGTGACATGAGAACCTCCCTCTCTCTCATCTGCTGTAGTACAACTGAATAATCACAAAAACGGAAAGCCGCGGTGTGTTAGCTAGGAGAAGCTACTAAGACAAATGTTCAATTTGTTGTGAAGCACAGCAGCTGTACTTGCAAATACTCCAAATTTTTACTTTTTTTTTTTTTCTTAGTAATAATATGAGCCAGGTGTTGACCTGTCCGGCTAACTAAAAGAGAACTTCTATAGACCTCAGCTGTATTGCTTATTTAACTCCAGTATATAGATGGACAAATGAAAAATAAGAACTGCAGCTTTGTTTCTTTTTTTTTATTCCCATGTAGGATGGCCTTCTCCTCCAAGGTTATTCAGATTTCATAAACAGGATCCACAGTCAAATTCCTCAGATAACTTCAGATGGAAAGAGACTTCAGGTATAAAATTTGTTAGTGGTTTTGAGGGGGTTTTTGTGTTGCTTTTGGTTTTGTTTGGTTTGGGATTTCTGTGTGTGATGTGCACTGCTTTCAGTTGTTGACTATTACGTGGCATGGAGCATGCTGCTTTGAAGTAGTGTTTGTTATACTTCTTGTCCAAGACTAACACTTGTTCAGTGGGTTCAGTAATTGCCTGTGAATATGTATTTTGAGGATCCTAGATCTTGAAGCCCAGTGTTTAGCAGTATTTGAGTTATTTAGATATGAACATATCTGAAAAATGAGTGACTATGTACATCATGATTTCTAATGATCTAGTAATCTTGATTCATCAGCTCTGAGTAATTCTGCTTTGTTCCTCTTAAATGATCAGGGTTTTTTAAGAGAATAGTTGAGTAACTTCTTTTGTGTCTTGACTCTTTGTCAGCTGAGTGGTTCCTGTGATGAGGAAAACCAGTCAGGGACTCTGTTGTGCTACGTTATGCTATTCAACTACACAACATTCTTCCAGTTCCACTCAGACCTTTTCTGCTGAGAAAATCTGATCTTCAGTGGTATCCATCATATGGCTTTTTCTCTTCTCAGGTGATTGTGTGCTCTGCAACACTACATTCTTTTGATGTGAAAAAACTATCTGAAAAGATCATGCATTTTCCTACCTGGGTTGATTTGAAAGGAGAAGATTCTGTCCCTGAAACTGTACACCATGTAGTTGTGCCTGTAAACCCAAAAGCTGACAAACTCTGGGAAAGGCTTGGCAAGAATCATATCAGAGTAAGTGGTTTTTAGGTGAAAAGAGTATTTGCCTGTGTTTACCTATTTAACCTTCTGAATTGGGGCCTAATGTAGGATCTTTGCCAGCTATTGAAACAGCTTAGTGTGTTTGAAATGGTTTGTTCCATGGGAGGCAGCATCATAATATTGGTGATGTAAGACCGTTTCTGAACGGCTCGGTCTTACAAACATGACTGTGGAAGATGTTGATGGGAGTAACCTTTGTACTACAGAACAGTGGCACTGCACTGCTTCTTCACTCATTTCACAGCTAATGGTCTGTGGCTTGACTGTAGTTAGTACCTGTCTTCTCTGATTGATTAGGAGGAAGTAAACATTCCAACATAGATCGTTCTGTAAAGCAGTTTTGTCTCTAACCTATATGAGACAAGCAATTTTTAGAGGGATGGATTTCATCTCAGACTGCTGAGACTCTAGTTTAAATTCTACGTTAAC